AAAATTTCATTGTACCAAGCACTTTCTTACCTGGACTATAGTTTTTCTATATGTAGATACCATCTTAGTTTAGAGTCAAATGTGAGGCCAAGGTATCTGATAGTTTTCACATATTCCAAGGCTATACCTTTCATTGTGAGAGGAGGGTCGGCATGTTCTTTTCTCAATACAAAATGTATGGCTTTCGTCTTGACTTTTGAAAAGCAGAAACCCATTCTTTCGGCCTCCTGGACTATCATGTCAATGGTGTTCTGGATCTTTCCAGCAATTTCTTCTATATTTTTTCCACTTGAGAATTAAGTCATCCACATATAACGATTTTATCATTGGAGCTTCTATTTTATCTGCTAGGTTATTTACTGCAATTAGAAAAAGCGTCACGGAGAGTACTGATCCTTGCGGTATCCCATTTTCTTGTACATATGTGCCTGATAGCACTGTACCGATTCTTACTCTAAGCGTCTGTTTTCTAAAAAACTTTTTATAAACTTTAAAATTTTTCCGCGTAGTCCCCATTCATAACATATCTTTATAATCCCATAACGCCAGGTCATATCGTAGGCCTTATCGAGATCAAAAAATATTCCTATACTATACTCTCGCTGGAGAAAGGCGTTTTTTACCGCGCTCTCCAGAATTCCGGCTTGGGCGATAGCTGAGTAACCCCCACGAAAGCCAGCTTGGTAGCAGTTTAACAGGCCTCGTGATTGTAGAAACCACACCAGTCGTCGATTCACAATAGTTTCCATTATTTTACCCAAGCATGTAGTCAAGGATATCGGCCTGTAACTTTCAGGGGCGCTCGGGTTTTTTCCTTCTCTGAGGACCGGTACTATGATGGCCTCTTTCCAATTAACCGGGTGTCCCCGCACTCCATACCTCATTGTATAAATGTAAAATTTTAAGTTTTTGTCCGTCGGGCAAGTTACATAATTCGCTATGAGGTGTTATATTTGAAGTCAGAATTATGGATCGAGGGAGACTTAGGCAAGTGTAATCTTTGCAATTCACGTGGCCGAATGTTCAATATTGAATAAGATACGCTTTCCATATTTTGGTGCGGTAGTGTTGAAAAGAGAAAAATTACTTCAAATATTTAATGGTTTAGATACTCATATCCTGGCGCGCGGTATGTCAAGCATGCTTGGAGATATCGGTACGATTTCATGTATTATTCATTCTCACCTTAATTTTACTTTAATATTAGTGATTATTTGGAGATCGTGAGATGCGGTCTGGTGTGACGTAGATTTTAGAAAAAACATTTTCTTTATCGTGCCAACATTTCGATCTTTATTGAGATAATATTCAGGTCATTCATTAGTGTTTCCCCTTTTACTCACGTTTCCCTTGTAATTTTAGTTATTACGGGACAAAATACATTTTGTTTTACTTTTTTAAAAATTTTATTTATTTTCATTTTTTACATCCTATAAATAAATAAATAAAAATTATTGTCATTATAAAGAAGAGAATTTATTTTGGAAACAACCTCAGACAGACGGATTTTCTATCCATTCTGTAATGCTTATGTCAATTATTTCTTTGTTAATTATGTAAACATGAATCAATAAAAGTATCTATTTAATAATTTATTTTCAACGTTGAGTTTCTACTCAGCAAGGGAAATAATTGTTCTGTTAAGTTTTTCCATTTGTTAATTAAGCATTAATGTGCTTTGTGAACTATTCTATTCAACCTATTCTAAACTCCTAAGTATTTTACCGTATGATACCATGTTTCTATTTTGTGATGTAGTGAGTGGTTGCCTTTCACTGTATAAGTTGACTGAGTTTTGTCAACGTTAAACATTATTTTCCACGTACGAAAGTATCTCATCATCTTTTAAAGGGCCTGAGCAATCGGTTTTTTATGGTTTCAGTTCTCCCTGGTGATGCATTCAAAGCAGTATCATCGGCATACAGGGACGATATGTTTTCTTTTTTTAAAGATTTTTTTCTGTTAATCTCAAAAACTACGGCGTTTAATTCTTGTTACAATCGACTCAGCAGGTCGTTTTACATCAAATAGGACAAAAAAATTTGTTTTATAAATATTTTGAATAATATCAGACCAAGAACTGAGCCCTGAGGGACACCCATAGACAAACTCTTTTTTCAAATAGTACATTCCTTCTTTGAACCTGAAATGTTCGGTTTGACAAGTATGAGACGACTAATCAAACAACATAGGGCAGAAAGCTGAATCAGTCGGCGCTGCCCGGATGCAAAGAGTCAATTAAAAGAGTCCCAGTGTGTACTAGATCTATAACGACTCTGCACTTGAATCAACCATCAAAAAGACTTAATGGATGTAGTGTTCTTGATAAGGGTTGCTGAAGGATTTCCCCAATAGCTGTCTTTGAAGCCTCAGTAATAGAGTTAATTTTATATTGAATGCTGGCTGTGCATATGGCTAGAGAGAGCATCTTTTAGCTTCTGAAATGCTGTTGAAATGTGTTGGTTCCACTGTATGCGCAGGTTACAGTGTTAGCCATCAGTGGGATTGTGTCTGTTAAAGGTTTCTAAAGAGGTGCAATGCGTATCAGAGTTGTGAGAACCTAAGTACAATTGTACTTAAGTACTTCTTTCAAGTATTTAAGTAAATGTGTGAATGTATTATTTCAGGAACATCAGTGAAAGATAGGGCGGGACAACGAAGTTATTTAAAAGTCTCAAGTTCTTCAAAAGTAATTGCAAGTACAAGTACTTTTACACGTACTTGCAATTTGACTTCCAGTGAACATTGAATACAATTACACGTACTTGTACCTTACAAGTAGTTGTAGTTGATACTGTTGTCGTTGTAAATTATTAATATCGCAATATTATTACCTCAATATAATATGTCTTTATTGATACTGTATTTCCACATGGTCGCTTCAAAATGTGAATGCGAATTCAAATTCAAGCTATTAAATTCACAGATTGCTAAGTACGGGTTTAACAGCAGGCAGTTTATGTCTTTCACAATAATCCAAACAAAATGTGACTAAATATAGGCAAAAACCCCGTAAAAACAGTTTTTGCGCAGTATCTACAAATCCATCACACTGGTAAAGTTCCAAAAAAGAAAGTACTCGTTATACTTAAAGTACAATTACTAACCACAAGTACAAGTACTTGAGTAATTGACCTTAACAAGTACAAGTCTTGAAGTGCATGTAACTGCACCCTGAGTAAACAAGTACAAGTACTTAGACTTGTACTTGCAACTATTTTTCAAGTACTGTACTCAGACTTTGTACTTTGTACTTGTAAGTACTGATTTTCCAACTCTGATGCGTATGAACCTGATAGAAATTGATCATTCCGAGAAAATATAAATCTTTAACCTGTTTCTGGTCTGACAAATCTCATCAAGCACTCGTAATTAGATATATCAAAAACTTTCAGAGGATGTGCCAAACATTTCAATGAATTTATAGACATTCCATATTCGCATAAGCCCTGAAACAGTAGCTGTAGATGGTTTAGATGTTGTGTGATGAAGAGGTTAAGTTGCCTAAATAAATGTATAAAAAAACCTTGGCCTGTAAGAACTTTCGACAAATCTTTGGAATGTCTATGCATCGTGTCGTAGGCCATTCACCAATGTAAGGAAATTCAAATAAACCGACCAGAGCTATTATTGCACCTTGACAGTAACTACAGCTTTACCCAAGCCCCCATCAACATAAGATCATGACAAGCCAACCAGGTTGTTCGACAAAGCTTCATACTCTTCTCAAGGATTCCCATCAAAGCTATCGTCCCTTCAATAATGAGTGAATGTCTTAAAGTCTATGGTTTTCTCGCCAGAAAATCATAAAGCGAACTCTCAAACTAATGGTCTATCAAGATAGTAATTAAGCACCGACAGCAATTTATATATACTAGGGCCACAAAGACAGATGACATTTTGTCAATAAACACTATGGACTTATTCAATTCACTAGTTTCGTGGTCTGCTTGACCAATTAACCCTAATCCCTAAACTATGGACTTAGTTTACAAGCCAATGGTTGCCAATACATACACTTGTACTGCTGATATATTGCCTAATGAGTATGATGAGAACATACTCATCATATGTACACTAGCCTTACTACACTAGCCTTACTTGTTTGTATGTGGAAAATTCTTTATAAAGTTCTGTTCTTGCACAATGGGTTTTTGAACTAAAGAAAATAAATCTGTATTTATTACAATAGCACCAGAATGCTCTCTTTATTTATTTACATATAAACATACATTTGCTTTATAATTACAAATTTCTTCTTTATGTAATAATACCTTTATATATTGCATCTAATTACAAACTAAACCTAATAAAGTTTTAAAATTCACAAGAAAAAAATTAAAGAATAAAGATCAATAACAATTTGTTCTTAATATTAAAATCTGTTTACCTATCACAAAATCCAGGCTCTGAGACCTAATCGTTTCTACATTATGCTTTATACATTACAACTTTTTTTTCCTTTATTTTTTATAATTCAACTTTCACCATCTTTGACATTTGGAACTTAAAATTTAAATTTGTACCAAATGGAAGAGGTTTAAAAGTAAAAGCTTTTGAGGCTTCACATCAAGAATCGAAAATTGACTCACTGTGAAGTAGTTGTAAAGCTCAAGGGAAAAACTACAGCTGACAAAGAAAAAAAAATTGGTAAGGGATTTTATTTTTGTTAAGATTATTAAATAATATATACAATTTTTTTTCTTCTAGTAAATAAAAAAAAGGCAGTTAATAACAAAAAAATTAGTTCTTACAATTCCTATTTTTGCTTTAAATTATTAGAATTAGCAGACACAATCCATCAGCCATGTGGCACTATTAGCTTTATAATATTATAAAAACAAATTTTACGGGTAGGTAAAGACTCAAACTGATTTTATTTACATAGATTACAATTTATTTTCGTTAAAAATGGCAAATTTATGTCGACTAGTGACAAGGTTTTTTTTTTGAACCATGGAAGAAACCATTTAAATAATTAAAGTAGATATAATGAGTGTTTTTTCTAATTTTCAGCTTATTATTTTCATAATCGATTTTGGTTATTCACAAATTAATACAAAATAAAAATTCATGGTATTCAGTCTCAGATTGCATAAACAATCTTTCCTATTATAAACTTTATTGAATTACTATCTGACTTGGTCGAGTGTTTCTTTTAAAGCAGCTAACTGTTCTTCTCCAAGCTGTATCTTCTCTGCGATCTCTCTAGCATCGACCAAAAGTTTAGATTTCATATTGATAAAGTGGTCATAATCGGTGTATTCCTCGCCGGTAAGGTAATTGTAGAGCATTGATGAAACGCTGCAACTCCTTTGGTCGATGTTTGACTTGAGCTGCTTCGCCTCATTCAACTGGCAGAGAAGCTTGTCTCTCTTTTCTTCTAAGACTTTCTACAATAACAAGAAATGATTAGAAACTAAGAAATAACAAATGGTAAAATATAAATCATACCCGGTCTTGATGATTCGGCGTTAACGTTAACAGCGCATTTTCAGCTTTGGCAAGCCGCCCTGAAAGACTTAATAAGAGACTTGTGATGTGTCCAACTTCTTTGACGTGAAGTCTGAATTTGGCGGCTTCCTGGGGCCTCGCAACTTTTTCGATCCTTTCTGTGACCGTCACGCCAAGTGCTTCATTGACACTAGTTTCTTCATTTACTGCTATTGATTCTTCCCTCAATACACTCAATTTTCTTGAGAGTCTCATCATTAACTCCTCCTATTGAAAAAAAATCATAATTTTTTTTACGATTAAATATAGATAATGCTTTACCTTCTTTTGCTGAAGACTGCTTATTGATGATATGCTGTTGTCAGGTTGAGCATTATTTGCTAAAGACATCAAGCGGGCTTTGCATTCTGAGTTGAAATAGGCATTATTCGGGGGTAAAGTTTCATTTGTATCTTCTTTTCTGCAATGACCAATTATCTTATTGAAATTATGAACATCTCAACGTTAGAAATAAAATTAATTGTTTTTTGGTCACATACCCGTTGGTTTGTGTTGGAGTGGACTGTGTTGCAATAGAACTTCTCGATCTTGGTGCAAAATCCATGCGAAAGAGTCCAGACACATAATCAGTTGTCCTTTTAACTTCAGGACCAGGAACTGTAAAATTAATTTATTTAGTATAATTTGACACAGAAATCAGAGGAATTTTCCTCAAAAACTATATTTCTCACCTTGTCCTGCCACTAAGAAAGCATTTTAATTGAAAAAAAAACTTAATATTTAATTAAATAATATTTTGTCATTTTGGATCCCTTTGGTCTATGAAATGTATTTTGGCTTGAAGAGACAAACCCAAGAAGCTAAAGAAGCCAAAACGATAGACAGACCAAAATGATCAGAAACTTAAAATCTTAGTTCACTTTCAAAATTTTATTTTGGCATTTATTATTAAAATTGTATTTAAATAGTTTACAATGATTCTGATGTTTCGCTTACCTAAGATACCATGTAGTTTGTGCGACGGAGATAGCTGGCTTGCCAGGTCTCTTGACAGTTGGTCGCACTCAATTTCTTCCTGAAGCTGCCTTCTCAGGACAACGGGTGGTGGAGGCGATGGCGAGGGGGTTGTTTGAGATGCGGCGTCACTCACCCTCGACTCTCCAGTCCGATCGCTCTGGGACCTCCCGATGACTGCTGGCGGTGGCTTGAACTCTTCACCTGCCTCATCTTTGAAAGAAGAAAAAACTATCAAAAATGATCATATTCCAAGATAGACTGATGCAAGAAAAAATATTTACCGAGGTTGTCTTGTGTCGACGCCGAAACAGAGACCATCTTTTTCTCAACTTTTGCTGATGAAGTTGGATCTGATTGTGCCCTTGGGGGTCTCGAAGCTCTTTTGCTCACTACTACAGACAATGAGTAGTTCCTGGGCAGGGTCTTCGACATCGCTTCTTTATCACAGTTCACCTCTTCTCCCTGACTAGCTGGTATCTCCTTGGATTCATTTTTGTCCTCCAACTCATTTTCGTTGATTATTACATCCTTTTTGATTTCTATCTCACTCAATTTTGTTTTCTCAACTAGAAAAGAAAAATTAATTGTAATAAAATGTAAATTATTATGCCAGTTAGTTGTCTTATTATTATTTAGATTATCGTTAGCAGCAACTAATAATAAATCGGTCAAAAAGGGGAATCACTAGGGATGTTAACTTAGCAAAATTTAGGAGTTCCTCACTTGTATGTAATCAATTGGTCACCATATGAGATGTAAACTGGAAATATAAGTGGGAATAGCTTCGATCACAATGCACAATCAGATGGCATGGTGAAGTTTTGTGAGTGCAGGAAACCATTTATGATGACTGAAGTTATCAAAACATTCACTCTTTATAAACTCATGATCTTTATAGATTATCATTCTTAGGGGTTAAAGTAAAATTTCAGATTCAAAAATAAGAATGAAGTTAATGGATGTTAAACAACTGTTTTTAGAATTAAATTGACTAACAATTTGGTTTAAGGATGAAAAAGTTACAATTTTAATTAAGGCTTAATTTCTTCAGGACTTACCACTTTTTGGTAGATCTTACTAGGGGACGACCACGTTGGTGTGACACAGATTTGGACCAAACTTTTTTGTGAATCTACACTCCAAAATAAATTACACATATCTTGTGGCCGTGGTTTCACAAAAAAATTTTTTGTTTTGAAAGTTGAAATTTTCCTTTTTTGAAAATATTTTTATTTTGCCATTCTACTTGCTCAAATTAACTATGTGAATATGACATTTTACAGTATTTTTTTACCTAGATTGCAATAAAATATATACTAAAAGCTATCAAAGTTTATCAATAACCAAATAATGTCTAAGGACAAAATATTTTTCAAGAAAACTAGGTCATAATTTTTTTTGTGAACCTAATTTGAAATTTCGTTTTAGCACCTCTAGACACCTCTAAATATAAATTTCTGTTTGAATTTAAATTTATTGATTTTTTGACTCCCAATTTTTTTTTGATATTTATGAAGTCGTTAGCGGAATATCTGATTGAAATGGCTGAAACTCAAAAACGTTTAAATATATTTTAACGTCAAACATATCATTGGAAAAAAGAAGAACGTAGCTTCTTTTTAACGACGTATGTACCATAAAAATATATCAAAAATTTCTATAAGAAAATTCACAAAGTAGAAAAATTATTTTATCAGAAATTAACCTCGTTTTTTTAATGATAATAATTGTTCGGTTTTAATTATTAGTTATAAAATGCACTTGACAATTTCTTTAAACGAATTATCGACCATGAATTTTTTAGAACCTAGGTTTTGTTAAAAATGGTGTTAGAGCGTGCACAAAGAATGTCAGACAGGTCCCAGAGGGAGTCGTCGAAATTATCAGTCAAAAAATTAATTTCCGAGAAAATGGGTATCTAAGGGTTTTATAAAGCTAGTCACGATAATGAAGTCAAATCCTAGTTTTAACCATTTTCTGACCTACTTTGCTTAAAGAACCTTTGTTAAATTATGCAAAAAAAAGCAGTATTTTGTTGATATTTGTTTTTAAATCGTACCAAATTAATATAAATCTAACTATTCTGCGTCGCAGAACATTTCTGTTTTTATGTCAATATACAATGAAATTATTACACCAACGATNCATATTTTAACCAACATTCTTCGAGCAAATTAAGTCAAGAGTTTGGATTGACCTCATTGTCGTGATTCTAGCGTTATAAAACTGAATAGATTGTTGGTGTAAATTAATTTTTTGATTGTCAATTTCGACGACTCTACCTGACAGATCGACCATTCTTATGGACCGATTTTCATGGTTGATATTTCGTTTTAAAGAAATTTTCAAGCGCATTTTATAACTATCAAATATTAAAGGTGGACTATTATTTCCATTAAAAAAAAGGTTAATTTCTGACAAATAATTTTGCTATAGAAATCTTTGATATATTTCTGAGGTACTGCATCGTTAAAAAGCTACGTTCCTCTTCTTTCTTTCAAATGGTATGTTTGACATTAAAAGTTTTTTAGCACTTATGAATTATAGCCGTTTCAATCAGATATTCCTATAACGGCTTCTTACAAATCGGAAAAATTTTAGTGGTCAAAAAATTGATAAATTTAAATTCAAACAAAAATTTATATTTAGGGGTTTCTACAGGTGCGTTTACTACGAAATTTCATATTAATCTCTCTCACTCTCTCTATCTCTCTCTCTCTCTCTCACTCTCACACACACACACGCGCGCGCACGCACCTACAAAAAAAATGCTGGTAGAAAGGTAAAATAGGTATAAAACGTAAAATTTCAACCTTCAAAAAAATTTTTTTTGAGAAACCAGGGCCTAATTACAAGTGGCGGGTACCTGCCCGATATTTTCAATAGTAGAATCACAAAAAAAAGTTTGGTCCAAATCCGTGACACACCACGGTCGTCCTCCGAATTAGTTTAATTAGTTTGTTCTAATGAGATAAAAACATGTATGGTATGTTCGTTTAGAAAAAAAGAATTCCATAAGTTCAAAAGCTCTTGTTGGTTTCATGTCTGATATGGCCATTACGATTTGTCTGTGAAGGTTTGAATCTTCTCTTTTCTTTTCTCCACGACATTTTGTCGAAAGTTTGTGTCGTATGTCCAGGCATCGCTGGTGTAATTGTCGGGTACGTCGTCCAGAGACGTGGACACGTGGGACGACCTTTCCGCGTCCGACCACGTCGATCATTGATTGGCGCCCAAAAGAAAACGGGCGAAGCTTTCCTGGTAGAGACGTGTTAAAAAAAAGCCTGTAATGATTTAAGTACCGGTGTTTTCGATGATCCTTCCACCTGTGGGTGACATCGTCCTTTTGTAGCTCCCCTGGAAGTTGGGCAGACCTTTTTCCTTCTCCTTCGGCTCCCTCCTGTAAGCGAGGTAGGAAGCTTTTGATTGACTCCTGCAACAATCGAGAAAACGGGTCGGGTTAAAATAAAGGATGTACGTTTAGCTTTTGAGACAATAGAACAAGCAAGGACGGAATTGTAACCAGTGGTACCGACAATTAGATTTAATGAAACAAGAATGGAGAAAGCCCCATCCAACCGTAACATATCGTGCTCTTCCATTGTCTTATTTTTAGTGAGCTTTGATGTAACTTTTAAAACCTTTACTTATCTAGGAGGAAATGAGTTTGAACTATAAAGTTAAATTTAATCATAATGTAAAGTGACAGATCACTTTTGCCCGTAGACCAATTAAAACTTGATTTGCCCTAGTTCAAATCGTGTCACAACTCTCTCTTAACTTTATGATAATCTTATAAGACGTCATTGGATGGATGGACTTTCAGATTGGATACTGCCAGGAAATTGGTATAGTTTAATATTTTTAAAGTAAAGTTTTATATTATGATCAAGTAAAAAGCCATGGGTTTTGCCGAGATTCGAACTTAGAACCACTAGCAAGACGAAAATTAGTAGGATGACCTAACCACTCCGCCATTGCCCTCCCTGTTTAATATTTTTATATGTTTAATCTAAAACGTCACAATATTTAACATTATTAACTACTAAACATAAAAAACATATTTTCTTTTGAATTTAGCCCGATTAAAACTACTCGTCCAGCCGTGCTTTTTCTCAGGATGCTCTTTGTTTCTAGACGATTCGGGTTTCCGTACTCGTTTCTTTGTTTAACGTCGTTGGGTGTGATGGAATATTTGATGTTTGTTCACTACGAGCGTTGTATTTGTTCTTTAACGTGTTGGTATCGTTTCGAATATGTCGGCATCTGTGTTTACCCGAACCTACGTAGTTCAGTTAACGTCATGTCATAATTGCACAATTTTAGTACGTGCTGTTTTGTATAAACGGAACACAGGAGACAAATTAATGAAATAACACAGACATGACGATAAAAGTTGTATTTTATTGTTCTCTTCGTTAGATATTTTCTGACAATAAATATCCACGTTTGCCCAGTTTCATATGGTTATTGTACACGATGAACCACATAAAGATTTTTTGGGCTTTGACTCCAAAGGATTGTCGCACTACGATGTGCTGACCTGTATGTAGATGGATCCCTTAAGCCTGATGCCCAAGATATAGTCCCTTTCCCAACGGGTTATGCTCCAACGCTTTCGACAGTCTTTCAGCCTCCAACGCATATAAAACATAATCCAGCCTAATAAAACTAACTTTTATAATACAGTCGCACATATAAATACATTCACGCTTATGAACATTCCACTCAATCTAATTAGACGGTGAAGAACTTGACATTCATCTATCGACCTATACACAATATTAATAATCTAATCTAAATTAGGGTCGATGGGGTACTTTTATAAATATTCCTCGATCTATCCTAAACACCATACTGCTGGAGAGGCGATGGCGACACCACCAGCTCTTCACTACTCACGCTAATAAATACAATCAAAATGCCTAAAGCAAATCTTTTTCGGAGATTTCTAGTCCAAGAAAGTATGCTTGGGTACAAGGATGCTTAGTCAAAAACAGCAGAATTTTTTAAGGAAGGTAAAGACAATATTAAACTGAACGTATACATCTCGTGAGATAATTCAGATGCACGCCCTATCACAGCTAAGTGTAATTTCCATCCAATTTAAGGAAAAGCATGTGTGAGCGGAATCCTTCGCAATATTGTAAAAATCTTCTTAACTTCAGACTGAAAATTGTTCCAGTGTGACAAGTTTTTGAAGATAATTCGGCAAACGAAATATGTTGTTTTATTATAGTTAACGGACAAGTTGAGTGTGAGATGTTGGAGGTGTGACGAATTAGGTCGCACACTCAAATACAAGCGGAGAAAAAGGAATTCCGGGCATGACAACGCAAGCAAACCGGCTTATCGTATGATTGCTTCACCAATACGTCTCGCTTTGTATTTATAGCCATGCTGCGATAGCTCGAATGATTTTTTTTTCGAAATTAGGCCTCTTATCTTAGTAGTTAAAATTATATTATTGCATATCCACGTAGCGAATACGCGTGGCTAATAGCTCAGCACTGATTCAGGGACGTCCGTTCTTTTCTTCAAAATATGTAATGTACAAATGGTGTAAGTCTTCCGTTTTCATTTATTTTAGCTGTTAAATGAGTATCTTAGAACATTTATTTTGGTAAGGTAGAAAAATAAAATAAAGATATAATACGCGCATGTATCTGGTAACAGAGGTACATTGTACAGTTGATAAATTATGTAAATCAGAATAGTAACTATATGAGTAGGCAGTGGGAAAAGAGAGAGTGAGAGAGAAGAAAGAAAGAGTGAGAAGGGAGTTAGAGAGTGGGCGAGAGAAAGAGAGTTATAATAATTGTTCCCAAAATTGGTCCTCCGGGTCGGATTATTACAATATTAAAAACACGGGGTTTTGAGAGCATTTGAACAAGAAAGACAAGAGAATGAGAGAAAGAAAGAAAGAAAGAAAGAGAGAGAGAGAGGGAGAGAGAGAGTAATAATAACTGCAATCATAGGATTTGTCCAAAAATGGTCCTCCGGGACGGATTATATTAAAAAACGTGTTTCCTGGCTTGTGGTGTTGTGCGCATTTGAGCGAGAAAGAGAAAAGAGTGAGAGTGAGAGAGAGAGGAGAGAGAGAGAGTAATAATAATAATTGCAATCATAGGATTTGTCCAAAAATGATCCTCCGGGACGGATTATTACTTATTGAAAAAACGTACTTCTCTGCTTGGGTTTTTGTGTTTTGTGTGCATTTGAGCGAGAAAGAGAAGAGAATAAAAAAGAAAAGAGAAAGAGAGAGGGAGAGGGAGAGAGAGAGAGAGAGAGAGAGAGAGAGAGAGAGAGAGAGAGGGAGAGAGAGAGAGAGAGAGAGAGAGAGAAAAATTATAACTGTAATCAGGATTTTTCCAAAAATAGTCCTTCGGGACGGATTATTACAATATTGAAAACACGTGTTTCTCTGCTTGGGTTTTTATGTGTATTTGAGCGAGAAAGAGAAGAGAATGAGAGAGAAGAGAAAGAGAGTAAGAGAGAGGGACACAAAACCGATATCTAAATATAATGTGGTCCCTCTGAAAGAGGCGTGACATTTTGGACCGGCTCCAGATGGGGTTAGTCTCGTTAACCTTATTTACTAGGCGTCAACGGGGGGAAATGTTAGCTTTGCTAATCTGTGGTACCGGGGGTGGACCGGGCAGCAGTACCGGTCGTGCCGGAGGCCGACGGGGGCAAAAGAGTCAAGGGCATCCGCGGTAGATTCTGGTCTTAATTCTCCCGTCCACTGTTACCGACCTTGCGCAAGTGTATGCAGAAAGCTGACGCCCGCAGAACCCGTCCGTATCCGTCTTTCAGCAACGCGGCCGACGGGGATTTTTTCCTTGTAGACTTTCCGAACTGGTTTTCATGACCCGGAGAACCCGATTCAGGAGAAAAGCCATTTACAGCCAATTTAGAACATTCTTTTATTATAACATGATATTTTCCCTTCTTTTTAGTTCCATATGTGGTGGACGTTTATAAAGTCATGGTTATTCACTGAACCTAGCAATCAATGTATTTATCAACATACATTCTTTCCATACGAACTTTTACTGTTATGTCTTTATACAAATATGCAATGAGGATTTAAACGACCCCCTAATAAATTGCACATAAATAAACTTAAGAAAATTGGACACATGAAACAATTACCTTGGACATGGAAACATTTAAGTGACCATTTTGTTCATGTACATACTATTTCCTTTAATTGCATGGAATTCACACTGCCTGTGATGGCTTATCATAAAATTACGATACACATTTACGTTTATTTGAACTTCTGAAAAAATCCAGTTTTATAGTTTTATCCACCTTTGACACCATTTTCTAGCAGCAAGAATCTTTTCTTACTCTTTTAAAACCGGACTACAATGAAAATATATTTAATTCGAATAGACATCAGTCATGGACTGAAACCGGCCGACAACTAGAGAAAGTATTTGCAAACGTAATTAACGAGAGATAATTAATAATAAAGAAATACACAGAGTATTTTGAGGAGCGCAGTGCGGTTTAGGGAGTCAGGATTTAGTATTTATCCGTGGCGTTCGAATCTCAGCTGCGCCTTTAGAATTTTCTGATCCTTCGTAAGCTGCTTTTCAATTATTTTTTGTTCTCTTTGTTTTTATTTGTAGGTAATGTGAAAAACACAAAGCTACAAAATATTAATGAATTAGTAAAAGAAGGTGTATTTACTAAATGAAATGAATACTAAAAATTAATTACAATTATAAAAGAAAAAAGCTTTACTTTCGAAATTCGATAGGTTTTTTATTACCACCAAGTTCAAACCACGATTCAGACTGCTTGAAAATGTGTGATGTATATGGTGACGACGTGTAAGAGAAAGCACCGTCAGTAAGAGCTTTGTTGAATCCTTTTTAAAAAAGATGGTTCCTACTCACATTAAGTGAGTGCTTAATGTGAGTAGGAACCATCTTTATTAAAAAGGATTGAACTCCACACTCACCCCATCATTTATAATTTTTAGAGCTTTGTTGGGTTTAAATTTGGAAGGCAGCTCTGGTTGTTCTTAAACAGTTAATGACCAAATTCAATCTTTTGCCAAAAATAACCCACACTGAACAACACGAGACATAGAAAACGACACTTCCACATAAAATACAATGTAAACGACCCATTTTTAAATAGATGGATAACTGGGGATGAAAAGTGGGTCCTGTCCAAAGAGTAAAACAGTTGATAGAACGCAGCGACACACCTTTAACTCCAAAAGCCGAATTACGTACTAAGAAAGTAATGCTGTGCATTTGATGGGATTGGAAAAGGGGTGCTTCCGGCCTTCCAAAACGTCAAATTTTATGTATACTGCGATGAAGCGATGAAAGTCAAAAATTGATCCAAATGGACCGACATTTGCGAAGCACAAGAGGATTGTTTTCCACCGGGATAACGCTCGTATCCTCG